AACCCCCTCTCGGCAGAACACACCTACGCAATTAATTGCTCTCCCAACCCTATTGTGGACGCCGACCGTAACAGTATAACGAGTTTTATCAGAGCCTTATTGGTTTACACTTTCAGCATAATATCTATAATAATAAGTTATTATTATCACTCAATTATTTTAATAACAATAGATTTAAATGCATCATATACTACTACTACAGTATATACTACCCAAAACATCTCAAACCTACTCACCAGTCACCTGATAACAAGAATGCTGATTTAGAGTGGGCTGAAGTAAGAGAAGAAAAAGAGGAATAGGACCAGCACCATGTCTACTTTCTGTTACAGTGGGTTAGCTTCCACAAAACACATTGTTTTGTCACATTTGGCAAAATCTTCCCCACATCATCATTTCAGAGTAACCATCATATCACTGGCAACCAGTCTATATTATGTTCTCCATTTCTACTATGGAGAATTGTTGTCCTGGTTCTGCAACAGAAGTTCAGAATCACATGTACTGATAATGATATCAACTTCCACCATGAAAAACACAGTAGTACTGGTGAATCTGCCAAAAAAACTGTCCAATGTACAATTTTTTCAAGCAGCTGTAATGAATATAATGCTGTTACTAACAACAAGAGAGTAGAGCAAGTGGTGAATATTGTAGTAGTAGTCAGGGAAGAGGATATAACAGTGGAGACATCTCTCAAACTCTCCCCCCCACAACAAACAACCAACAATAACAATGTATGCAACACATCACCAATGTCTATGAAACATACATCATCAAAGCAAATGATGGGAAAAACCAAAAGCAAGAAGACACAATCCTGGGCTTTATCTGAAATAACACAAGAAATAATGAACATTTAACTGTTCAATTGTACAATGGAACATATGTAGTAATATGATATAGTAATATGTTACAGCCAGAGTGGAAAGGCAAATACAAAGCAATAGTGCAAGTACTGTGCCAATTTGGCTCATATCTTGGTAATCAATGATCAATCCTCCTTTCTATCCATCATGAAAGATGTAATGTATGTATAAGGTATTCATATTAATATATCAGTGTGTGTGGTTGTTAACAGAGTCTTGCAAATTAATATGTCATCATATCTATTACTATTACTATATACTATAGGAAGAGTTGACAAGGAGGTTAGTGCATCACCTCCTTGAGGAGAAAATCACTCTCCCATGTCTTAGTCTTGCAGGAAGTGATGAATATTAATATAGGAACATTAACTGGGTAGGTTATCTAATTAATATAATATAATATTAATATTACAAAAAGCATAGTATTAACCTTTTATATCAATTGTGTATAATAGAAACTCTGAGGCAATGGAGTTTGCCTCACTATTCATGATGTATCTGTCACTTATTTAATTATTATAAGATAAATTTGCATAGCTATTATTCTTCACTAATTTACTTTTCTGGCATTTAATAGGTCACTGAGTTGGCTGGATCTGGACATAGTCAATTTTTTCTCACTAACAGAGGTGATGTCACCTTTCATATTAACAGACATAGAGTGCCACCAGGAAGTCCTGTAACTGTCTATGTACTGGAATATACTTGTAAGTGAAGAATAGTTTCTGAAATTTGGAAATCTAATTCTTACCTTAGTTGTATATATAGATTATTTCAGACTTCCTGGTGCTCATCACCATCATCTCCATCATTCTCCATCTTCCCCTACTCCACCATCTCCACCACCCAGTTGTATAATCCACCAGCTTGTTAAGGTTAGTCAGAAATGAATGATCATGGACTGAAAATGAAGGATAATAGCAATAGTAACCAGTATTAGTATGCCAGTGTCTAGTATTAGGGTGCAAACCTCAAATGGCATAACAATATGACTAAGTGTCATGTCTACCAAAGCAAACCATCATTGCACAGCAG